TATATATATTGTGTATATATGAAGACATTGAGAACTGGTTCAGTGACATTGGCTGCAGTTGAGTCGAAGCTGTAGCTGGACTCGTCGCTGCTTGTCGCATCATGTTGCAAAGAGCGACTGGCAAGTGTTATTGATATTGCTCAGACTTTGCTCACACACACACCTAAGCACACACAAACACACACACATGCGCAGCTTAGATACGGCCACGAGTTGAAATGATCTCGGACTTCGAGTGGCTGAGCAGCCACGCATGGGTGGCTCAATGCGACGGTTTATTATCGCCCCGGTCCAGCATCGGCTTCAAATGCAGATGAAGTTATAAACCAAAGGCAGACTTGGCCAACAGCTGCTGCACCCCAGCAGGATGCGATATTTTCCTTGCATACATACATATATACATAAATATTTGTAGGTTGATTTTTGCATTTTAAATGCGCTGATTTATGGCTATATTAAGGCACAATAATAATTTCTATGCGTGATCACCAGCAGCTGCAGCTGCCATTGAGTCCAGCCTCTCTCTCTCTCTCTCCATCTCTTTTAGAATTTGTTTTTGCGCTTTGGTTTGATTAAGTGCACTAAGACAGCAGGTCGCTGCTTTGGATAAGTGGCATAGATCGCAGATAAAAGCGTACATCATTATGGAATGTGCAGCCTGAGAATGTTTACATCAATTATTGAATATGCATAGGATAAATTAAATGATATTTATCTTAAGATATGCTTACGTAGTCAGTGTGCATTATCTTTATTTTGGAAGATACATTGACGATAAGTGAAAGACAACTCACGTTCGACTAGAAAAGTATGAGCTCCCTTAAGGACTCTCCACAGCCAGATCTTAATATTATATTTTAATATCTTACAACTTTACAAACTACAAATTATCTAAATAAGTTACTTATGATCTGGACTATACTATATGTCATTTTCCCAAAGTCACTCAAAAATACTCATTATTCAAGTCGAATTCTTCAATATTCACAAATTCACAAAGCTTTTGACTTTAACCTGTTGTTGAACTCATTTTAGCCATTTCAATTCGTATTCCCTCCCGCTAGGCCATTAGTCTCACTTATCTATCTTGTGAATTGGAGGGTACTTAATCAAAATGTAATACTGTAATTTCCCAAACTGAATGCTGCTGCCACTTGAAGGCTTAAGCTTTGAACTTGCCTCTGCCCTAAATGGCCCGAATTAGTTTTTTGCAGTTGTGGCTTTGTGTGCGTGTGATGACATTCAGGAATGTTTCCCAAGACACAAGCTCCGCAACAAGCTAGCTGCTGAGCCTCTGAACAAAGCTGTCAAAAAAAAAGGTAGAAAAAACGGCAAGCAACGCGGAACTGTGGGCCGCCCCCTCTCGCTCTCGCTCTTTCTCTCTCTCTCTCTCTCTCTCTCTCTCTCTCTCTCTGTGACTCGCCCTCTCTCGATCTCCCTCACTCGCCACAATTTTCAGAGCCATTTGCTGGCTTGTTTGTCTTGGCTTGTAGTATCTCCATCTTCGGTGCTCAGGGTGTTCGGTCGGGCCAAGTACTTACTTGTACTCAGGCCGTCATAGTCGTATGGTCGCGCTCGTACTTATTGTATTTGACATGCCAAATGCCAAAAGTACACGTAGGCGTCATAAGATTCATGACTCGAACTCCAACTCGAACTCAGAAAACCAAAAAACGAAAATAGGAACATTTTTAACATGGTAGTGCTGAAGCTTGTATGCTCTAGGATCAACTGATAGAGATGTGGCCTTAGCGAAGGATTTCATTTATGGCTAAGTGAGGCGGAGGTCTAAATGTTGACATGCCATCACATCTCAGCTAGAATATATATAATATTTTATCAAAATAATCCTAGAAGTAAATATTGAAATTGAAGGTGTTGCAAGCTGGAACATATTTTGTTTCGACCCGTTGTTAGAGTATTAAAAATGAAAGAAAAAACTATCTCGGTATGGTTGAG